GTGTGTGTGTGTGTGTGTGTGTGTGTGTGTGTGAGCACGAGGAGGGAAGAGGAGTTGACAGGAGGCTCGCAGCAGCAGCGGAGGGCGGGAAGGTGGGAGGCTGGCGCGTCACTTTCTCTCGCATCAACCGCGTCCTCCAAAAAGAATTAGAGACCACCGGTTGTCCACCCTCCCACCCCTCCCCCTTCTTTAAAATAAAAAAGACGACCTCAGAGTCACTCAGAGCCACATTCTGTCTCCTCTTTCTCCTCCGAAACCCCCTTATTCCAGCCTCGGGTTCTCCTTGTATCGACGCSCCTCTCTGGTTGAGGTTTGTTCCGAGAAGTCACGTCTGGATTCCTTGATTCCCTTTGAATGATCGAACAAATGAAGAATAAATCTCTACCCGAGCAGGAGGAGCAGCAGGAGGAGCAGGAGGAGGAGGAGGACCTTCAGCGGTGTTGGTTCCCATTCCAGCTGTTGACTCACCGACATGTTTTTTTCCCCTCTCTCTTATTTTCCGTCCAAACCCGATCACACAGGTCGACCTCTCGGTTTTAATTGACTTATTAGATACAGAGCAGATAACCGAATGAGATAAATAAACAAAAAAATGCTGTATTTTATCCGATCAAGTCGCTCCTCGCTGCTGAAGTTGAACGCGTCCGATAATGGAGTCAGTTACACGCGCCCGGGTTGGCGCTCGACAAACGCGCCCGCTGGTAGGAATAAAAAAATGACAGCAGTTGCCTCCCCCTCGTCCCCCTCCTCCTCTTCATCATCATCATCATCATCATCTCCCTCCTCCTCCTGCTGCTGCTGCTCTCTGTTCAACCAACACAAACTAAACTTAACCGCGCGCGCCTTCAAACTGCGCCCGCAGCTGCACGGCACGGCTCGGCTCGGCTCGGCTCGGGTTTGTGGCTGACAATGTCCTTCAGGAGCTAATCAGCAAGCTTTGACCCACGCCGAAAGCAAAGACAAATCCCAAAACATTTAAAGTTCAGCGATTTTGAAGTGAGATTCCCTGTAAATTGTTAGCATCTTACCTGCTGTAGATAGCTCATCAGATGACTTTAGTATCAGATGACTTTAGTTTGGAGAAAACAGGCTGACTTATATGATGTGTTTGCCGATTGTGCTCAAACACTGCCACTACACGGTTATACAACAGTTGAATCACATTTRTGACACAACAGTGAGGATGTGGTGCAACAATGCTGCATTGGGAACTCTGGACCATAGAAATATGGAGCATCTCCCCAGTCCAGCAGCTGCTGAAAGTCAAGAATGCTCAAGTTATGTGTCTTCCATAATGCCCTGTTTCTTAGTCATAAAGAATCAGTCCCAGTTGAGTTTCATAGGTCCTCAAAATTTCTGTTGGAATAAATGTACTTAAAAATGGCGGTGCTGTGAAGGTTTTCTTTTGCTTTTGCTGTTTTAAGATGACATAATGGTTGTGTCTCAAAGCCACACTCTTCCCAGTCTGGACAGGCTGCATGAAACAGCTGTGAAATGAGATGGCCTTCAGATGACATATTTGCTTGGTTTCCGTTTAATATCACAACATGGCAGTGCTGGCTCTAGCCATTTTGGTGCCCTAGGTGAATTGAAGGACACCCCCCCCCCCACCCCCGAACNCAGTCATGTCAATAATGATGTCGGTCCATTCATGTCAATAACCATGTCGATCCAGTCATGTCAATAACCAAGTCGGTCCATTCATGTCAATAACCATGTCGGTCCAGTCATGTCAATACGCATGTCGGTTCAGTCATGTCAATAACCATGTCGGTCCAGTCATGTCAATAACCATGTCGGTCCAGTCATGTCAATAACCAT